CGCCGCCCCGCCGGTGATCGCTCTCCGGCTGTCCCCAGCACCGTCAGCCCCTCACGGCCGTTGGTTCGGGCGGGGGAGGGAGAAAGTGAGACTCGGTGTCATCACCATCCATTGTCAGGAGGAGAGGAAATTGGAATCCAGCAGCGGCGAGCAGCAGCTGGGCGGTCACATCTGGGAATGCAAAGCCGACCTCCCCCCCCTCCACCTCCTCCACCTCCTCCTCTCTCACCCGGGATCACTTCCGAAACCACTTCAGCTTCAGCCCCTGCCTTGGCCAGAGGTTTCATTTTTAACAATATTTACGAAAGCTGGAAGCGTGCGAGGGGGTGGGGTGGGGTAGAAATAGCGGCTGCTTCTTTTCCAGGGATTTATTTCATGGGGATGTGTTCAAGGCAAGAGCGAATTCAGAAGGATATCGACGTCGTGATCCAGAAGTCCAGAGCCGAGAAGGACTGCTTGTTTGCAGGTGAGTTCTCGCCTTTCCACAGCCTCGGACCCAGCGCCAGCTTCCTCGGCCCGCCTGCCACCCCCCTTCCCAGTTTGCTGACCTCGACGTGTGTGGCTGGGAGTGGGTTGCACGTCCCTATTCCGGGGTTCATTTGGCAACAGCTGCTGCAAAGAGAGCAGGAGCCAAAAGGGGTGGGGGCGTCAGCCTCACCTCCCCTCACCCTCCCGTCTGGGGCAGCCCCTAGTTTCCAGGCCAGAGGCCGGGTGGCCGGAGCGGGGGTCTAGGCGGAGGGGCAGTGCATTATATTTTTAGTGTCTTCCCGCAGATGTCGGGGAGCCTCCAAGCCGACTCCCCGTTTCCAGAAGCAGCGGCCGAGCCGGGCTGGCTGGACCCGCTGGGTTTGCGCAATGGGCTGAGTGGCGGCGGCGGCGGCGGCCGGGAATGGAGCCCTCTGTGTTGCGCTGCGCTCGCCGGCTGCGCTGGGCACCGAGGCCCCCAGGGGAAAAGCGCTAGCCGATCTTCGACCCCTTCGACTCTCTGCAGCCCCCTCTGACGGGAAATGCGTTGCCTCGGAAAGAGAAGGGGTTTCTGGGGCTCCCGAGGCGCCTAGCGCCCTTGCCTGGGGGTCGCCTTTCGTCCATTTTGCTCCCCCGGGAGAGGGAGCTGATCTTGCTTTTGCAGTCGCGAGCCCGGCGGGGGCCGCTGCCGGCTGCCCGGACCGGGAAATTCCCGCCGTTGCCATGGCACCCGGCACTTGTTGCGGGGGGCGGCCTCCCGCGGCACTCGGCTGGGGTGCTTAGCCTCCCCTCCCGCGAAGCGGGTAGAGGGGACCTCGCGGCTCTCTAGCCCCTTGCCACCCGCCCAGCCAGGCCTTCCTTTGGTTCCTCAAAAAACATGGGGCCCAAATCATGACCAGAGTTAAAAAAATCCACTCAAGCGGTAGCTTTTAACAGGACTTTTTGTTTCAGATTTCAGATTCGCAGACTCCACGTTTACTTTCACCTACGTTGGCGGCCCCAAAAGGTATTTATGTGTATAGACTTGCTTCATTTCCTGTTCACACGCTTGTGTTTCCTTTGTTCTTAGCATGTTCCGCGTTTGGGTATTTTTTGTTGTTGTTGTTTTTGTTCTTTAGCCACGTCCCAAGCCTGAGGTACCCTCGATTTTAAATAGCGGAGGGGAAATACGGTTAATTCAAGTGTTTGTAAGACCACACCACAGGCAGTGAGAACTCTTACACTCTTGATGTTAAAGTGTTCGACTACAGTAGTATTGTGGCTGTTGAGGCATTTTTGGGGTTGATATAGTCAAGTGGCTTCAAAGCTGTAATACTTGGTATGAAGTGAAATGCGTAAGGAGATAAGGTGTCACAAAATAGTTTGATTTCAAGTAATGATCTTCTTGGTCCGTTAGGACTGCACGTTTCCATATTTTCTGACGGTTGACATGTAAACATACAGTTTGCCAATTCTCCATATGGTTTTTTTTTTTTTTTTTAAGGAATGGTGTTTTGATTTTCACGTTTAGTGGTAGGAAAGAATTTGGAGAGGTATATGTAGCTAGAGTGTATGGCCCTTCTCTTTTGAGGGAAAAATGAGATGCATATTTTAATATTAAACTATTAACAGTTTGAAAAAAGCCCAAACCCAATTTTGTATTTAGGAAGCTGAGTTAAAATGAAAGATAATCATTAAAATATGCCCGCGTATTTAAGTGTTAAGTTAGGATTTTTTCCTTTAAGCTCTTGGGGACACTGGTTTAAAAGAGCAGTGGCCACGTATGAGGACTGTCAGAAATTTAACCTAGGGGGACTCCTCTGACCTTCCCTGCTATTAGGACTTGACATCTAATACTTGCTCCCATTCCAAAATATCTGTTAGCTAATGGCAACGTTTAAGAACATATAAATTGCAAAAGAAGCTTTCTTCTAAAAATACATTTTTTAAAAGCTTGAAATTAATGTGAACCTTTAAAACACTTAGGATTTGTGTTGCATTCTACTTTTCTTCAAAGAAGCTTTAATTAAAAAAAGTATCAGGTTATTTTTATGTACATGTAAAATTCCTAAACCCCAGGGTTGGTCTATTGATTCGATTAGATAGTTGAAAATACAACAGTGAATCAGTACACTTATGTCAGTATGTACTTTACTGGGAGAGAATAAATTACGGTATATCTTCATTTCCTATAGTACTACTATACTATTGTCTTTGTAATTAGGAATAAAACAAATTAGAGGAGAGTCAACTAAATTAATGCTGCTACTCCATTTAATATCCTCTTGGATTATTTTAACAGTTGAAATACACTACTCCTAAAGTGGCCCATTGAAAATATTCCTCACACAATCAGGTAGATATCTGCTTTAATTGTCTGTTACACCGTTGTTGCTGTTCATCTCGAGAGAGGTGTGGAGTCAGGGAAAGCTCCGTGTGGGCTTTTCAACTAACTAGCTTTCTGAGTTGGATAAAATACTTGAGTTCTTTTGGTCTCAGTTTACTTACATGCACAAAGAGGGGGTTGAACCGTATACTTAAACTGTAAAATCTGTTAGTACTGCACTAAGATTCTTTATTAGCAAATTATTGAAGCAGTATTAATATAGCAAGACATAGAGAAAGAAGGTCTAAGACTTCCAGGAGCAAGACCTGGGGGTTGGAATGAATAACTAATTAAGATAACACTCGTTTTCTATGTAAGAACAAGTACCAGGGAAGTACCATGGTTGTTCTTAAAGCTTCCTTTTCTGTTAATCCTATTAAGGGATAGTATTTTCTTTTGTTCCTGGTTTTCATTCCTAGAACTTGTATATCTAATGTGGAACAGCCTATAAAAGGAGAAAGACAGCCTGTATAACTGCTAGCATGATTGCTTTCTCTTCTCACAAGCCTGTTTACAATACAGTATATAAAAAGGTTTTCTAGTATAGTAAAGGTTGATAATCCATTTATGGTTTGTAGCTCACGATAGAGAAAACATTTTCCTGAAAAGAAAAATGTGTAGGTGTTGTTTCATTACCTACATTAGAGTCTGATATTTATTACCCATTTTCCATTCTGACATGTCAGTCAGACATTTAAAATTAAAATAATCCTCCTCTGTTTTGATTTAATGTACCTGTCAATTTGTAATGTTCAATTAATAGTGTCATTTCAGGTAAGCTAGACTCACTTTACCATTTGAAGGAAGTGAGAGTCCTATGGAGAGATAATACATGATTATTTTTAAATGTATTTAACTACCATTTCATCTAAACTGTTGAGAACATATTTCAAGAATAATTATTGAAGTTGTAGATAAAACTTAATATATCATTTCCTGTCTGACACTTCTCAAGAATGAATCACACTTTGTTCTGAACACAAAGGTTGTTCTCATAAGCTGCTATTAAAAAACGTAAATAATATTGAGGATCTTTTTTTGTGCGCGTGCGTGCGTACATTTCTTACGTTTCTGTGGATGAGAGGAAATGCCAAGAGTGATTTTGCCAGAGCTGGCCAGTGGCCTAGTAAATTGATCTTTTATTCGGAGGTCCTCAGAGGGACAAAGTGCTTGCTAGTGTTTGCTATTTTGTCTTGATGGACTTCAGGTGAGGAATGAGGGGAAAGAGATGGGCAGTTGGAAGACTGATAACCCCATTTTCCCTAATGGGCAAGCTCCTGGAATTATTATTATAGTCACTTTTGCACATGCAAACAGGCTCAGAGTTTAAGAATCATGCTCAAATTCACCCAGTTAAGTGATGGAGCTACCCCGTAAACCTTGTTCTTTCATGTTATTGAGACCTGTGTTTTCTCTGCATCCATGTTCTCAACCTTTTTGAGCAGGCAGACACTTTTTAACATCACAATTTATGCAGATATGTATGTGAGAATTGTAGTTTTACTCTTTTGATTGAGAAATACTTAATGAAAAAGATCAACTATGAATTCCTGAATAGTGTTAAACATGAATTTGATTATTAATAGCACCTACATATGCTTGAAAAATTATGACATATATATGGCAAGATTAATTCAGTCTGTCAGTGATGCTTAGAACATCCCTGTACTCTTTGGGATAACTGAACAACCATCAGTGGTTCAGGGCCTACCATAGGCTCCTACCCTTTGCTGCCTGCCAATTTTAGGGGTGTACCAAGAGCTATAAACCAGAGGCCTCAATTGTGCACAACTTGTAAGATTATACAGAAGTTATTCCTTCTGTAAGCTTTGTCTTATCTGTCATTTCCTGTCTCTTTTTTTATTTATTTCTCCATTATTGAGTTTACTGACTCATTAAAACCAGAAAGATTCTGGATTTGGGTTCTTTATCTCACTTAGAATCAGATGTGGAGTTAAAGATAAAGTGGGTGTGAAGGCTACTGGGCTATTGACAGGAGATAGGAAAGCAAGTTGAGTCCCTGGGGCCAGTGGTTAACAAAGACAAGGAAAGAGCAAGGAGAGCCCAATGGGCCTGATAACAGACTGCTCTGGGATTCCCTTATTGCAAGCATGAAACAAGGAAAGTATTGTGAAGATACAACTCTAAGAGTTTAAAAATACATAAATAAAAATTGTTTATTGTAAAAAAAGAGAAATAAGCATGACCGAAACCAACGATTCCTCCATCTTCTATTTGTATATTAGAAAATTCTTTTAGAATTTGTTTCTATATGCATATAAGATATATGTATTTCATATATTTATGTTTTTCCAAAGATTGTATTATACTGTTTGAGACCTTGCTTTTTTTCACTCGAAAATATAACATTAACATCTTTCCTTTAGAAATGATACGAGAATAAAAAAATGTTTACCAAATCGAGAGCTTCCCAACCAGGGAGTGCAACTGCATGATTTCTTGTTTTATCTTTGGCAGAATGTTAAGTTGCCTGCATATGTTAAGCACTGTTGAGTCTGTTCCAACTCATAGTGACCCTTTGTACAACAGGACGAAACACTGCCCAGTCCTGTGCCAGTTCCACAGTCATTGCTATGTTTGAGCCCATTGTTGCAGCCACTGTGTTAATGCAGACACTGACACATCTGTCAGTTTCCTGTCCTGTGTGGCTTGTGTGTTGCTGTGATGCCGGAAGCTATGCCCCCGTTATTTCAAATACCAGCAGGGTCACCTATGGTGGACAGGTTTCAGCATAGCTTCCAGACTAAGACAGACTAGGAAGAAGGACCTGGCAAACTACTTCTGAAGAAAAAAAGAAATTGGCCAGTGAATACCTTATGAATAGCAGTGGAACATTGCCTGCATATGTATACCCCTTATTGTATGAATAGACACTCTTCTGCATAGTCGTGGATAGATTGGAATCTCTTGAATTATGACCCCCTGTTTAAGGGGTTTCCTGTCCAAACGTTTCAGAGCATCAAGTGTGCAGCTCATGATAGTACTCCAAAGTTCCTCAAAAGCACCGTGCTACCACCTTTTCTTCCTGGGCCTTTGCATATGCTGCCTGGAATATCATCTTTTTCCTACCCTCCTACATGTCTCCCCACTTCAGAGTTAGTCGGCCCTCATCGTTGCAGTCTTTGCTAAGCTCAGTTCTCCTCTGAGAAGCCTTCCCTGACATTCTCTTCCCTGGTATGATTCTGCTGTGTGTTTCTAAACCTGTCACACTGTATTGTCATTGCCTGTTTGTTTACTGGACCATCTACTTGTGAGCTTCTTGGATGTGGAAAATCTAGCCTATTTGTTGTAGTTCCTCCAGCCTCTAGCACACTGTCTATTGTTGGGTGCCGTCGAGTTGATTCTGACTCATAGCTACCCCATGTGACAGAGTAGAACTGCCTCATAGGGTTTCCTTGAAAGAAACAGGAGCAGGTTGACAAGTCTTTCTCCCAAAGCCACTGGGAGGGTTTGAGCCGTCAACCTTTCAGTTAGCAGCCGAGCACTTAACAGTTGCACCACTAGGGCTCCTAGTACTGCCTAATACAATATAATTCCTCAATAAATATATGTTGAATGAATTACTGAATGGTTAAAGATCTTCTGGCAGTTGAGGAACAATTTCCTAATGAAAGGAGTGAGTATGGAGATACTCAAATACTTCAGAGAGCCCCTGATCTGGTGATGTCACTTCCAATGGAATTTCATATTAATCCAGAATGAGAAATTGCCTAGCAAAGTTATAGCCCTGTTCACTGTGTCACATGCTCAGATGCTTTCAGAGGAGAGACATAATGCAGTTGTTTAGGATAATAGGGAGCTATGGGGACTGTGGCACATTGCAAGGTTT